AATTGTTACAATGTATTGCCAAAGCATAGTGTTTACATTGAATCTCTCTCTCTCACACAGTACAGTAGCAGCAGCAGGAGTTAGAATAATAGTGTGATGATGAATCAGTCCCAAATGAAAACTCTCTTCATCTTTTATACACATCAGGTGCATCATGGGACGCATTGAAACTGATTTGCTGAAACAAATCCAGCATTAAGACACTTATAACTAAAATACATTGAGTCCATAATCCATAATAACGCTTCCTTCAGTGAAAAAGTGCATCTGCTGTTGTCGCTCGCATCAAAATCCAGCCACATATGTGTTTAGAGCTGTTTAAACGCTGCTTGATCTGTGCAGATTTCTCTCCTGATTCACACCAGAACACTTTTTCACTGGAGGAAGAGTTATTATGAATTATGGACTCAATGTATTTGAGTTAAAAGCGTCGTAATGTTGGATTAGTTTCATCTTTTGTCTTCTCCAGATGTTCACTGATGGACTGGAGTGCTGTGGATTATTGTGATGTTTTTATCAGCTGTTTGGACTCTCATTCTGACGGCACCCATTCACTGCAGAGCATCCATTGTTGACATTTTTTTCCATGTCAAGTTGAATCTGCATCATTTTCTTCATACAGACAGTGACTGAATAACTCACGCAGCATTCTTCATACACTTCTCCAGTTTTATTTAAAAAATCCTGATGATTTTGAAGCAGACACAAAGAAATAATACGAGTTTAAAAACAGAGTTATTAGAAAGAGCGGCGGCTGATCTGAGAGCAGAATGAGCTTTACTACCTAATGATCAAAGCGTCTGATAAACTACAGACACAAGTCTTCATAACATCTATACAAACGAAGGCTATTCCAAATCAAAATGACAAAGATTATAATATTGTTAAATGTAGTATATAAACATTCAAACTTTACAAAATGTAATAAATGTATCTGTTAAAACTAGAGGAAGAGGTAAATACCTTTAAAAGAACACAGTCCTCACAGCGTTTGTACATGAGACGTGCAGAACAAAACAAGCGTTTGAGCACAAAATGAGACGCGTGTAAAAATATCAGCACCTAGAGAAGCCGAGACTGCCGTCACACATCACAGCTTCACAGACAGCCCTGAGATCCGATCCGCTCGCCAGATTCAGTGTTAAAGCTGCTGTCGGTCCAAACGCTGAAGTCCTGCTCCTCTCAACAGAAACTGCTGGTCACATGACTTCCTCTTCCTGTCGTCTGTGACACCTCTGTTACGAGGGCCAATCACAGGAAAACACTTCTATCTTCACCCCAAAATAATGCTAAATCATATTTACTGTCAAGAAAGCGAAGCCTAATTTAAGATTTTTTTGCAGTGACGTTATTTTCATAAACACATTTGTGCAAAAACTGATATTTTTCTCTCATTACTGTAAGCACAAATACTGTAAAGATGTATTTAAACCAGCATAAACTGAAGGAAGTACAAGAAATACTACCAGAATGCATAATTCAAATAAATGTCAACAAAATTAAGATTACAATTATGAGAATTTAGGGGTTAAATGTGTCATTAAAACAGCTTAATTATTTCTGAATGTGAAATCGGGTTTGTCTTCTGGTGAATATGAGTTTAATATGTATTGAGATGAGAGTTTAGGATGCAAACGCTAAACGACTCGCTACTGCTGCTAACGAGCACAGCTCAACCCATCTGTGAGGAGCGACGTGTGACGACAGCGTTAAAACAGAGATGAGGAGGAGCAGAACACAAACACCCTGTCTGTCCTCGCTCTGAACACCGAACCACACACAACCGAAGACGTAAACCGTGAACAACTCAAGTTAAAATCTGAACAATACAAGAGCGAAATCTGCAGGTGAAAGGCCCTCGTCCGGTGTGTGAGAGAGTGTGTGTGTGTGTGTGTGAGAGAGTGGCCAGGCTGGTGGTGGGTCCATTCTGAGCTTGAATCTGCACAGGAGGAGGGCCTTCAGTCCACTGAAACACACAGAAAACCTCGTCAAACAACTCCATTTACATCATTCACATCAAAATAAACAGTCTCTCATGCGGGAATGAATTATGAGATATTCCTAACATCAAACAAAAACACAAGCTGTCAGTGTTGATGTTTGTTATGAATCTAATGCAAAACACTATTACAAATGGACAGAGATTTTCCTGATCTTTCCATTCTCAGGTGATGTGTGTGAGTGTGAGTGTGATTTTGTGGTTTATGAGGACACAAATTTTATAATGACATGGGTATGACATAGGTGTTACAAGGAGAAGGTGATTTAAGAGTAGTGTGAATGTGTGAGCGTGAGTGAGTGTGAGTGAGCGTGTGAGAGAGTGTGAGTGCGAGTGTGTGAGCGTGTGTGTGCGAGCGTTTGTGTGTGTGTGTGTGCGCGTGTCTGAGTGTGAGCGTGAGAGAGTGTGTGCGAGCGTGTGTTAGTGCGAGCGTGTGTGTGCGTCTGAGAGTGTGTGCGTGTATTGTGTGAGCGTGTGTGTGTGTGAGAGCGAGAGTGTGTGTGTGAGCATGTGAATGCGTGTGAGTGTATGTGAGTGAGTGTGAATGTGCGTGCGTGTGTGAGAGTGTGTGTGTGTGTGTGTGCGAGAGAGAGAGAGAGTGAGCGTGTGTGTGAGTGAGAGTGTGAGCGTGTGTGTGTGAGAGTGTGAGCGTGTGTGTGTGAGAGTGTGAGAGCATGTGTGAGTGAGCGTGAAAGTGTGTGTGAGCGTGTGTGTGTGAGTGAGTGTGAATGTGCAAGTGTGTGTGAGAGTGTGAGCATGTGTGTGTGTGAGAGTGTGAGCATGAGTGTGATTGTGTGTGTGAGTGAGTGTGAATGTGCGAGTGTATGTGTGTGTGTGTGAGCGTGTGTGAATGTGCGAGTGTGTGTGTGTGTGTGTGTGTGTGAGCGTGTGTGAATGTGCGAGCATGTGTGTCAGCGTGTGTGTGAGGGCGCGTGTGTGAGCGTGAGTGTGAAAGTGTGAGAGTGTGAATGTGCGAGTGTGTGAATGTGTGAGTGTGCGAATGTGAGTGTGAGTGCGAGAGTGTGTGTGAGAGCGCGTGTGTGAAAGAGTGTGAATGTGCGAGTGTGTGAATGTGAGAGTGTGTGTGAGTGTGAGTGTGAGCGTGTGTGTGTGTGTGCATGTGTGTGAGAGAGTGAGCGTGTGTGAGAGTGAGAGCATGTGTGTGAGGGAGTGTGAGCGTGTGTGTGTGTGTGTGAGTGTGTGAGAGTGTGTGAGTGAGCATGTGTGTGTGTGTGTGCATGTGTGTGAGAGAGTGAGCGTGTGTGAGAGTGAGAGCATGTGTGTGAGGGAGTGTGAGCATGTGTGTGTGTGTGAGCGAGCGAGCGTGTGTGAGAGTGTGAGCATGAGAGTGTGATTGTGTGAGTGAGTGTGAATGTGCGAGTATGCGAATGTGAGTGTGTGTGAGAGTGTGAGCGTGTGTGTGAGAGTGAGCGTGTGTGCGAGAGTGTGTGTGTGTGAGCGCGTGTGTGTGAGTGTGGGTGTGAAAGAGTGTGAGTGTGAGAGTGTGTGTGTGAGAGTGAGTGTGAGCGTGTGTGTGTGCGTGTGTGTGAGAGAGTGAGCGTGTGTGAGAGTGAGAGCATGTGTGTGAGCGTGTGTGTGTGTGAGTGAGAGTGTGTGTGAGAGTGTGTGAGTGTGTGTGTGTGTGTGTGTGAGTGTGAGTGAGAGAGAGTGTGTGTGAATGAGTGTGAGAGTGTAAGTGTGAATGAGAGTGTGTGAGTGTGTGTGTGAATGAGAGTGTGTGAGTGTGTGTGTGAGCGAGAGTGTGTGAGCGTGTATGCGAGCGAGAGTGTGTGAGCGAGTGTGTGAGCGTGTGAGAGAGTGTGTGTGAGAGAGTGTGAGTGTGTGTGCGAGCGTGTGTGTGTGCGTGTCTGAGAGTGTGAGCGTGAGAGTGTGTGCGAGCGTGTGTGTGTGCGTGTCTGAGAGTGTGAGCGTGAGATGTGCATCAGAGTGTGTGCGTGTGTTGTGTGAGCGTGTGTGTGAGAGCGAGAGTGTGTGTGTGAGTGTGTGAGAGAGTGTGTGTGAGTGAGAGAGTGTGTGTGAGTGAGAGAGTGTGTGTGAGAGAGAGAGTGTGAGAGTGTAAGTGTGAATGAGAGTGTGTGTGTGAGCGAGTGTGAGCGTGTGTGCGAGCGAGAGTGTGAGCGTGTGAGAGAGTGTGAGTGTGTGTGTGTGAGCGTGTGTGCGAGCGTGTGTGTGTGCGCGTGTCTGAGAGTGTGAGCGTGAGAGTGTGTGCGAGCGTGTGTGTGTGCGTGTCTGAGAGTGTGAGCGTGAGAGTGTGTGCGAGCGTGTGTGTGTGCGTGTCTGAGAGTGTGAGCGTGAGAGTGTGTGCGAGCGTGTGTGTGTGTGAGAGCGTGTGTGTTTGTGTGAGAGCGTGTGTGAGTGCGAGCGTGTGTGAGTGCGAGCGTGTGTGAGTGCGAGCGTGTGTGTGTGCATCTGAGTGTGCGTGCGTGTGTTGTGTGAGCGTGTGTGTGTGTGTGAGAGCGAGAGTGTGTGTGTGAGCATGTGAATGCGTGTGAGTGTATGCGAGTATGAGTGTGCATATGTGTGAATGTGTGTGCGTGTGTGAGTGTGTGTGTGTGCGAGAGGGAGAGAGCGCGTGAATGTGTGTGTGTGTGTGTGTGTGAATGTGCGAGTGTGAGCGTATGTGAATGTGCGAGTGTGTGTGTGTGAGCGTGTGTGAATGTGCGAGTGTGAGCGTGTGTGAATGTGCGAGTGTGTGTGAGCATGTGTGTCAGCGTGTGTGTGAGGGCGTGTGTGAAAGAGTGTGAGAGTGTGAATGTGCGAGTGTGTGAATGTGTGAGTGTGCGAATGTGAGTGTGTGTGAGAGTGTGTGTGTGTGAGCGTGTGTGTGTGTGTGTGTGTGTGAGCGTGTGTGTGTGTGTGTGAGTGTGAGCGTGTGTGTGTGAGAGTGTGAGTGTGTGTCAGAGTGTGAGCGTGTGTGTGTGAGAGTGTGAGTGTGTGTCAGAGTGTGAGCGTGTGTGTGTGAGAGTGTGAGTGTGTGTCAGAGTGTGAGCGTGTGTGTGTGAGAGTGTGAGTGTGTGTCAGAGTGTGAGCGTGTGTGTGTGAGGGAGTGTGAGCGTGTGTGTGTGTGAGCGTGTGTGTGAGCGTGTGAGTGAGAGTGAGTGTGTGTGGATGAGCGAGCGTGAGCGTGTGTGTGGATGAGCGAGCGTGAGCGTGTGTGTGGGTGTGAGCGAGCGTGAGCGTGTGTGTGAGAGAGCGTGTGCGTGTGTGTGTGTGTGTGAGTGAGTGTGAGAGCATGTGTGTGAGTGAGTGTGAGAGCATGTGTGTGTGTGTGTGTGTGAGAGAGCGTGTGTGTGAGAGTGCGAGTGAGAGTGTGTGAGTATGAGAGAGTACGTACACTGATGAGGTTGTGTTCTGGAAGGCTGCAGGCGGCGATGTGATCCTGCAGGAGCTGCTGGGAGAAGTTCTGGTGCATCTGTGCTGCCTCATGCGCTTCCATGGTGTTCCCGCAAGCCTCGTTAAGATCTGGACAGACGGACACGTGACGTGAGCTTCTGATCAACACTTAGTCAAACCAAAACTTATTCAGACACCTTCAACATTTCTCACATTATCACAGTTTATTCACTAGGGCTGGGTAAAAAAAAGATTGATTCTCTATTTTAATCGATTCTCATTTTTACAAAACGATATTGATTCTTAAATCCCAAGAATCGATTAGTCTAGACTGTTTTCAGTTAATGGACGGAACATTGAAAGGCATCTCCCATCCAATATATCACAAACTAGGGATGCGCCGATCCGATATTCATATCGGGTATCGGCTCCGATAGTGCCATTTTTCTCGGATCGGGTATCAGGCAGAGAGAGCCGATCCAAATCCGAGATTTTTTTTTTTTTTTCTCGATTGTGCGAATTATTCTGTGTTACTTCTGAAGCCATACGATAGCTTAATGTGAGCTACATATGAATATTTAAGTTCTTACATTAAAGTTCACACACTCTTTTCTCCGCTGTGGCTGTCAGTCATTCGTTCAGCTTTAAACCCTGCTCGCGTTCGGTTACAGCAGTCAGCTCGGTAAAGCTCTCCAACATCATTCTGTGTTCACATTATACTGGATTTGTAAATACATGTCTATGATTTTGCAAAAAGGACTTTATCTTCTTGCCGGAGTTTAATGTTGTTTTGTTACTTGCTACCGGGTGTCTGTGAGAACAAAACACGGGCGTAGAAAAGACTATAAATAGTTTTTAACGTGCACCGTAACAGAAATTTAAAACTGTTAAAAGAAAGGCTCAATAACTGTTGCACAGGTATAATACACTACGCATTAATTTCTCTTCACTTTGTGCTTTGCCGTTTTTAACACGAAGCGCTTCGTGCTCATAGACTGTAACCCTCTACATTGAGAGTAATAACACATTATATATGTTTGTAAAATGGCATAACTTATATATATATATATAACCGTTGAGGGTTGTCTGTATAAAAACAGTTCGTGCTGCACTGTATGTGTTTTGTCCTATCGTATCATATGTTGTTGCCTTATTAAAAAATATGCTATACATTTAAAAGAAATGTATTTTAATTTTATAGTATTTACTTGTATATAAATACATTCATGAATGTTTTTAATGAATGGATTTTATAATAATACAAATAGCAATGTGTAACATTTTACCATATTTAGCACTTTTATTTGTTCCCCACAAAATATTGTTTTTTCACTAAATGTTTGGATTTCTAAAATTATTGTGCACTGATTTTTCTAGAATAACTTTTGCTGCCGAATTATCCACTAACCTAGTTTATGATACATTTTTGTCATAGATTATAAATATACATAGGCCTATATTTTTTCATATTTGTTTATGTTATTTTTCTTTATAATGAAGTAGTCTGTATCTAGTAGATTGTGAAAGAATGATTATCAGTTCCACACACAGAGATATATAAATTCTACATTTATTTAAATGAGGGAAAAAAACTTCACTGGTATCGGATCGGTATCGGCCAATACTGAACCCTAGTTATCGGTCTCGGAAGCGAAAAAGGCGGATTAGAGCATCCCTACAATAAGCATTGTGCTTTGGTACGTTTAATATGAAATAAAGTCTCAGATTTCAAATTCTGTCCATTGTATTGCAGTATTTAAACAATAAATGCAGTTTTGGCGCTGTTTAATGTGGAGTAACAGATCGCTGTAGCGCCTCGATCAACAGACGTGAACTGATCGTCTCCTCCGCTTTATTACTAGTTATAGCACAAAATAAACATGACTAAACATCCGAAGGTAAGTTAAAAGAAAGAGTACAACTTTACAATCCGTATCCCGTCTCGTGTAATCGCTCAATCAGTGTTTCAGCCGCGCAAAGACCTCAATATAACGACTTATAAACAATGTAACGTCACATTTACCTCAGAAACACATATTCGGTGACCATGAGCTCATTAGTCAGCCAGAAAAATAAACTGTAGAGAGGGCATTTTGCTGAATATATGCACCATATAACATTCATTATAATGTGTTACTGTTCTTTAATGTTTTATTCATGTTTTCATGACAAGTTTTTATGACAGCCACTATTTAAATGTTTATATTGCAAAAAACTAACTGAAGTAATTGTAACTTAATTATTTTAAAAACTTCATTACGTGTGATTTAAACAAATCAGTCAATTTTAACCTTCAGTATTATAGTAATGTGGTACCAACTGACTCTCGTGTATATTTTACAGCATTAGTTGAGATTTTTTTCTTTGAGAAAATTTGGCATGTACTGTACCTGATATATATCCAAAATAATCGATATGAAATCGAATCAAATTGGCAATCGAATTGAATCGTAAGCTTGTGAATGAGAATCTAATTGAATTGTGAAATTTGTGTCAAAACCCAGCCCTATTATTCGCTATAGTTGAGAAAATGGTAATAAAATATGACAAGAACTCAGAGTTATCTTCTCGATAATATCAGATAACTTTGATAGAAAGGTATGTAATGAATTCGGATGAATATCTGTCAGCTGTTAACTTTAAGAACACAATTAGATAAAACCAATTTAGCTCAACTAATCACCACGCAGTGCTTCATTCTGTTCAGTCTGTGGAGTAAAAGATCACGTTAGCAATTAAAGAAAAACACTTCAGAAACACATGCTCAGCTCAAAGTGTTCTATTTGTGTGTGTGTGTGTGTGAGAGAGAGAGAGTGTGAGTGCTGAACTGACCCTTGAGCAGAGCCGATGACCAGAGCTGCACAGACATGTCTGGGATCTTACTGGCCAGCTGCATCGCAGGAACCACCATGTTGTTGCTCTCCTGAACACAAACACACAGAATGACTCTCAGCGCTTCTACAGGACGCTCCGTCTGAGCAAACGCTGAGGAAGAGCCGAGAGCAAGTCTGAACGAGTGTGTGTGTGATTTACTCTGTGGTTCCCCAGCACGAAGAATATGTGTCCCAGCAGCACCAGAGAGCAGGCAGTCAGACGATTCAGATCCTCCGCATTCGACATCTTCAGTGTCTCGCGCAGGAAACGCCTGCAAACACACACACATTCATCAACATCACTGACACACACACACACACACACAATCTCAGACACACACTCACTCACTCTCTCAGAGACACACACACACTCTCTCTCTCACACACACTCAGAGACACACTCACACACACATTCTCTCTCTCACACACACACACACACACACACACACGCACTCTCA